GAACTCCAGACCTTTGACATTTATATACTCGGATCTAGGAGAGCCAGAATCTTTGACCCCTGGTCACTTCTTATAGGAAGACGATTACTATCATTGCCACAAGAAGCTCTAAATTAACTTCCACAAGGAGAGTCTTACACATCGAATAGACATCAACAATACTGGTAGAAGAATCTGGCGAAAATGGAGGCAGGATTATTTGATGATTTAAATCTGCTCATCATTCCAAACTGGCAAAAACAGGAACCTGTTTGAAGAAAGGAACTATTGTATCAGTGCATGAAGATAAAATTCCACGGCTGATGTGGAAGATGGGCATCATAATGGAATTCCCTGGAGAGATGGCAAGTGAGAGCCTGTGCTGTCCGCTTGCCCAATGGACATACGATTAAAGGACCAGTGCAATTACTATATCCGGTGGAGCTGGAATGTAATAAGGACAATTACGGCAATTGTCCTTCCGGGCGGGAGGATGTTGCAACTCACCCTCTTGCCTGAGATCCGATGGCTGAGTGACGTCATCTCGAACTATGAACTCTCGCTAGAGATCACGAGAAACTCGGGACTAAGAGTCGCACGCCGCGTCGTGAGAACATTTAACCTTTCATTATGTAAAAATTATGTAACCGTTAACGCCTTCATTAAATATGTTTGTGTTAAGAAAGTTTATCATTTAAGGATTATCCCTCTCAAGATTTTACAGATAGAGTCCCTGAGAAGAATGCATCCAGTGGCCCTGGCCGAACCCATTGGAACAAGGTAAGCAGTTTTGTTTTACCTTGATTAATTAGTTAGAAGTAAGATAAAGAATATAAAATAATAATAGAGGCAGCCTTCCCTTGATAAGTCTGTCTCCTGCCTGCTCAACAATCATTCACTTATGAATTTTTAGAAATAAATTTTTAGGATTAAATAATTTTTGGAATTTTATATTTATTAATAATGGATTTTGATACTTCCACTTGATTTACAAATGCTCTCAAAATGTAAATGTTAGTTCGCAATAGCAGATTAGTTTGCAACAATAATTAATCATTTATTTGTTTGCATTAAATTTCATTTAAATTTAGTAACTTTAATTTACTTTTTACGAATAGAGAATGTTTGTTAAATTCAAATTTAATTCCTTGCAGCAACGGCGCAAGAGAATTATTTAAAATTAAATTTAACTTTACTTTATTCTTTTGAAGCAGATAAAAAATATTTGAATCAAAATTATAATTTAAACTAACGGTAAAACATTAATTCTTCGTCTCTATTCTAAAATTCGTAATAACTTCTTTACTTTGCGTCATTTCTGAATTATTCTGTGGCCTGCGCAGCTCTGATGACGTAATAATTGGGAACTGAACCTACCATTGTAAACCAAAACTTTTCTCTTCACGTGCTTCCATCTTTCATAACTGCGCAATTCAGTTTCTGTCTGTGCTGTGCTTGGACGCAATTCGCTACGCTGCTTCCTATTGCAATAATATCAATAATGTAAATGTTCTTGAACAGGCACGATTAGGGTGCCAAGTGATCTGTGGCCACATAATGTCAATTGGAAATAAAAATCGAATTAAAATCGCCTCGACTGCCAAGTTTCTTTACAAAGTCAACACATTAGCTTACGACGCAATCAGAATACTTCCTCTTTAATATAGGATAACTGCGCATCAACAATGCTCCGTCTTTTCCTTGTTTTTATTATGTCGTATATTTTGAATTTATCTCAGGGAAAAACCCTTTTGAACACACACACCCCCAACTTTAATTTTATTAACGTTATAAAATTTACTAACGTTTTATCCTCCGTTTCCGTAAATATATGCAGAAAAAGGGCAAAAACCCAGGATTAAGAACCACCACATAAGAACATTCAAACCACAACTGAATTAACTACTCAAATTAACAAGTAAAAATATCCCCCCCCAAAAAAAAATTTTTTTTGAAAGCTTTCAAATTTTTATAACGTTTTGTGTGTTACCTTTATTTATCAAATATATTTTTCGCCCTTAAACCATAAAATTCAGTTCAACAGCAATATCGCAAAATAATTTTTAAATGAGCGTAGCTTTAGAATTTCCTATACACAATTTCGCGCTTTGGAGATATAAAGGCCCGTCCACACGAGTACGCTCGAAACGTAGCTGACGAACGCGCTTTTACGTTACCAGCGTAAAAGCGTCCAAACGAGTACGCTTGCGAAGAGTGCGTTTAACCAATAGCATTATTTTGCGCAAAAATCACGTGACGCTGTAATATAGCGTCGTGTGATTTTTGCGCTGTAATATAGCGTCAACAGAGCTGTATCTTATTACTTCGCTGTTGTTCTGTATGTTTGCGGCAAGTTGTCCGAATCAGATGATTTTTTTAATAGCTGAAACTTTACTATTATGTGCAATTATTAAGCAGAGGCAAAACCGCAAAAAATGGCAAGAATGGGTCCGAAAGATTTATTTAGAGCGACCTGTTCAAGAGATTTTTTTTTTAAAAAAACTGCCTTGTTTGCGAAGGAATATCTGGAATTATTAAATTCCTACTATTAGCTCACACTCTCCCTATGTCTTGTTCAAATTTTCAGTACATAAAATCTTTTTATTCATCCACTCAAGTTCAAATACAATTTTTTAAACTGCAGTGAATGACACTTGATATTAATACAGCTTTTCACATATAAAATTTTTAAATTTTTAATTAAAAAAAATTATGTTTGTATTTTTATTTATTTATTTTTGTATTTTTAACTTTTCTTTGTGGACCTAAGTAGGAATTGACTTAATTTTTTTGTTTTTTGCGAGGGGGTATATTACTTATTTTTTAATTCCTTCAGGATGATATCGACCAGTTTTGACAGACTTGCAGAGATTCTATATCGCATGAAAATTAGGATTTATAAATTGGTTTGGAATACACTATATAAAGAGAATTAAATTACTTAATTCTATTTATATAACACCATCCACCATATAATAAAACCAAATTCATATTTTTTTAACTCGCTCTCCCTTGGTCTTTTTTGTTTTCTTTTATTTATTTTTGAATTTAGAAAGAGGTTCAAACTTTGGACAGTTTATAGAAATTATGTGCATGATAAAATATGCAATAAAGTAAAAATAAAGAGAGAATTTATAGATGATATATGATAAAGAGATGCAGATATATTTTTACATAAGGATTTCTATTTGCACTGCACATTTTTAAACTAAATTAAAACAATAATATAATTATAAATAAGAAGAAAACATAATAATAGGTAAAATAAGAATATAATGATTCATGATTAAATATAAGAAACACGTTTCAAAATGAGAAAAGCTAACTGAATTATACCGTCTACGTGAATTCGAACTTGCCACCTTTCCATTCCTCCGCCACCAAAGCAGCGCGCTGACCACTCAGCTATCAGTGATAGCAGTGTTTGTGAAAAATAATGTAGAAGTAGAAGTCGCTGCAAAGGTATTTAATTAAACTTCAATAAATGATTGCTGTATGACACAAGTTGTAACTTCCCTCCAAATTTCGTAATTGTATTTTATTGAATACTCTTTCACAGTCAACTGCTTTATTTTAGAAGTTATTATACTGCTGAAGTTAGTTTTTGGTGTATTTAATATTGGGATATTTATATGGCTTTTTATTACACATGATATAGCCAATATTTATATTAATTAAGGAGAATTTTGTAAGGCTCAGTTTTACGTCTTCTGCGTCCTGCGAATTTACGCCGGCGTCAAAAAAGTTACGTCAACTACGTCGGGAGCGTCCTCGTGTGGACGGGCCTTAAATGTTTTCCCCCGTACTGTGTTGCCATTACTGGCTTTGAAATTTGTGAGTTTGTTAAATATGAAACAGATAATAAAACAAATTCCAAATTTAGGCTTCCAGATGCCCATATTCAGTTGGAAAAGTACATTATTCAAAATTTCATGACTCTAGGTACCGTTGTTTTACCACAGTGCGAGAAGCTTTGGCTTAATCCTAGTTTACCGAAACATTTATCCAGATTTTTAAATATTTAATTTCTTTAAATCTAACACAGGGCGATAACATTCAGTTAAAAACACTGCTTCAAAATATCGGGTCGGCCATGTTGGCGCGTTTATTGCCCTTCCAAAAAAAATCGCCAAGCAGAGTGCTAAACCGCATTTCAGCCAATCACTTATATCAGAATCGAAACTAGAAAGCTGAGCATATATCCCTTCTAAACTAGCAAAATTTGATCGAATTTCTACCTCATTAGGTTTTCCTGATTTAATAACTCACTCAAGACATTAAAATTTTTAGTAAAATTGGCTCTAACAGGAGAGCGTTTCTTTACTTATAAATCCATGCTTAAAAGTTTAACGGTATTTACCTTCAAAATCCAGTGAGATCGCGTCTGGGTCACCAGTGTTGCGCTGAATCTACCTGAGTATTATTTCATTCAGTCGTTCCCGCCTGTAAATTAAATCTGACTCCATTCTATAACACTTGAAAAGAAATATTTTAAATAAACAATTATATTTTCTTTCTTAAGAAAGCCAAAACTTTATTTGCTTACACACTTGAGGAAATCAAAACATTATTTTAATTATTCTTACTATTGCCAAACTTCAAAAACAAAACTCTGTCTAAAACGGAACACAACGGCTGTTGAATATCGTTAACAAATATAAATCATGGAGCTCACATCAATTCTACTTTGAAAATACGTTTTTCCTCGGCTGTTCGTAGTGCCTCAACCAGGAATATTAAAAACGGAATAATACTAATCAGATATTTTAGTAGGTCCATTATAAACGATGCAACTAACAACTATGATATGGCATTTTTATTTTGGTCATTCCAATTATTAAATTTTCACCAAAAGTGGTTATCTTGCACAGCTAAGTTCTAATGTGCAAAGGAAAGGAAACCACGTGACCTATAATAACCAATCAGCATATGATTGAGCATTTCCTCTTCTGCTGGTTTTGAAACTGCTGTGTCTGTTTCCCGAAATTTAGATTGAAATTGTGATTTTTGATTTGGCAACAGTTAACTGTAGGTTTGTCAAACAAGCATAATCATTCCGGTTTGTATATTACCAGTAACTAATTGTTTAATATTTTGGATTAAAAATGACTAGGCACTTTTTATTTGGTGGGTCTTCATCGTCTCAGTCGCAAAACAAGAATTTAGTTGAGTTTCGAGCTGGTAAAATGACTATGAAAAACATGAAAGTAAGTGCTGATAAAAGAAAAGGCTTAGTATTCATTTATCAAAGCGATGATTCCCTAATGCATTTTTGCTGGAAGGACCGCACTACTGGTGTCGTCGAAGATGTAAGTAGGATGCAGAATTCTATAAAATATATATAAATGTCTACGTTATTAATCGTGTTGTGTTCAGGGGTTTTCATCCGCAGAGAACCCGTTGGCGCCGTTGCATTCTTACTCGCCAAGGATGAACCGAGCCGTAAACGTGATTTTTAGTGCATGTAAATTCAAGTTAGCAGATAAAACAATATATTAAGCATATGGTAGTAAAAATTCCCAGATAATATGCATGTAGATGTAAAACAAAGGGTTAACGTGATATACGAAAATAAATTTGTATTAAAATTCAAGTTAGCACAGAAAAGAATATATTATTAAGCATAAGACATATATAAGCATTTATAACAGAAATAAAATTCATTTAAAAATATAATTAGTATTAATATACTGAAATTAACCGGTTAACGTGATGTACTAAAAAATTTGTCTTAAATTCCAGGTAACACAGAAAACAATATATTCCTTTACACCAGCAGTTGTTTGCTAATTTTTGATGACCATGGTGATGCATCAAACTATTCTGTCATCTTAGAATAATCAATATTTTTTTTATTTCAATTTAATCATCTATTTAATGCCCACCTGCCATCCCCTGAAAGGTTATTGTTTAGAAAAGCATTAACAATATATTATCTTGTTAAAATTTTACGCCCATAAAATTGCTTTATTCTCATAATTTAAGATGACAATACCAATAATAAAATAAAAGCATTACTTAATTAGTTAAAGCACACATGCACATTTTTGCGGTCTACGAAACAAATTATTTTAGACTTTGGAAACCTCATGGTTCTTAGAGCTATTAATAATTAGACACAACGTGAACAGCCGTGTTACAAATTAGCATTCACCCCTCCTTTCATTCCGAACCGAGAACCGGCATCCATCTACGAAAATATTTCTAACTATTCGTTGTTAAAAAATTCAGAAAAAATAATAATAAATAAGAGAAGAATAATATAAATCTGCAAATGCGAACAACGACAGTCTTAATTCAACAAAATAAACGCAAGAGGAATGGAGCTTTTCAACCTTCAGTTTTTATTTTTTTTTTAAATACTTTAAATTAAATGTCAATTACTTTCTAATAAAATAATAACTCTTCATCAGTTTTTTTAATACTTTAAATGAAATGTGAATTACTTTCTAATAAAATAATAATTCTTCATGTTTATTATCTTATTTTCGTTTATTCTGCTTAAGGGCCCAAACTACAAACACTAGCTGAGCCCAAAGATTTTCTCAGGCTTTGAATATTTGTATCAGTGTAGAAGTGCTGCGGCTCCTAATTTGTAAAAGAAGGTCAACTATATAATATCTTTCAATAGTATGTTTTACTTGCTAAATGGGAACTACTCTAATATGCGCTGTCAAGGCACCAAATTTCTTGCCAAATATTTTTGGCGAGAAACTCCACGCTGCTATATTGCTATCTAAATTTTTTGTCTACATTTCGAACTTTAAGCCTAAAATGTCTCCAAAAACACGGTTTTCATAATGCCAAAAACCACGTATTGAACACATAATTTAAGCTAAAAATCCGAAACAAAAACAAAAAATTTAGATAGCAAAACCGTGAAATTTCTAAGCAAAATTATTTGAAAAGAGTCCATGTACACAGCGATTTGTTTTAAAACTTAAAAAAACATCTACAAATGCACACATCTAGGCAACGAACGAATTTACCGAACTACGCCACCTCACTTTAATAAATTAACACGACAACAATAAATTTCAAAGAATACCATATACACGCGTTTCTGTTCAACTTTAAAAACATCTACAATTGCACAATATAGACGGGTGCGCACTAATCAACAAAATAAACTAAAATAAATTTCAAACAATTCAAAAAACAACAATAACGACAGAAATTCATACTAAAAAAACATGAACATAACATTCTACAAAATAGAACAAAATACAAATAAAATGCACTTACCATTAATGCTTTTTCGAACAACAGAAATACCAATTTCATACCGCCACGTAATCACTATCGTGTTTATATGACAGCCAGACACTATCCAGAAAATTCATACTATGGTTCACAAATAAATAAAATAATCACAAATCCCTACTTCTATCATGCACAGCCACTAAAAATAATCTCCCATATCTTCTTTCCACACCTCCAAATACCCATTACCCCTCAACAGGATCGCCACGAAGATGTTTCCGTATACCGAACTTCAATTCAACAACTTTCACCATTAAATCTTTCCCCCCTAGCTTCTCAGACACGTAGCATTACGGGAACCAACAAACTCCAGCGAAAGATTTTTCAACGTCAACAGAGTTGCCATACAACACGCAATTGCACCAAAAACCAGCGCAGAACACATATCGCCACATTTGGTGAAATTATGGTGTATATCAGAGTTGTACCGCTAAATGACAAGAAAATGTATTAGAAAAATGTACTAGCTACAAAATATGCTCCGATTTTAGAAAAAGAATTTAATATTGAGAAACTGCTATTCAAGTTAAGAATGTTTTTCACTGAACCTTCAAACTTATAATTTTGTTTACTATCAGGATTTTCATTTTGTATCATATATTTTATCATCTTATCTTATAATAAACTGTATATTTGTAGGATCTTATCATATTTCCTGATGATACAATTTTCAAAAGAGTTCCAGAGTGTACCACTGGAAGAGTGTATGTGCTCAAATTCAAGTCATCTTCTAGGAGGTGTTTCTATTGGCTTCAGGTACTAGGTTATTTTTCACTAATGTATATATAACATTGTAGAACCTCTATCAAACAAGGTCTCCATGAACTGAGATGGCAATCAGTTTAAAGAAATCATTTGAAAGATATAGTAACTTTATAAAGGGTACATTTAAAATCAGTAAAATTTGTGAATTCTGTTATCAACGATTCGTCTTTTGGTCATTCTGATCTATACTGGGTTCCTTTTACATATTTTGATAAAAAAATATGTTTTATTTGTTTTAAAGATAAAAACAGTATTAAAAATCAGACACCAACTGACAATGAATTCATAAGCATGTTTCAAAGCAAATTGCAAAGATGTAGCTCAACATGACATTTTGGAATGGATAAATATTAAAAGCAGTAAAGCAAGGTTTCTAGTTTTAAAGTAATGAAGAAATTATTCTTGCCCATAGATCTTGAGAACAATGAAATCGCAGTGATGAGTTATGCTGTGAATGACGATGAAGCATACACTGAAAGAACCATGTGAAGCCTTATACTGATTTTTAAGAGCATTGTCTTGTGCTTCTATGGATCCTTTGCTGATATGAATATGGTATGGCTGTGTATCAGCTGAAAGAATTATAAGAATGCTGTTAGAAAATAGTTGTAAAAATTTTAAATTTCACAAATTGTGTAGGTTTTGGTGGAGTCTGTTTATCCTGCATTTTTATGAATATTTTTGTTGAAAAATAAAATCTCATATAGGTTATTTGTTTAATTAAAAAAATTAATTTTATTAATTGTATTGCACTTATTTTTAGAATTTCAAATAAACATTTTCAGATAACTTTGCCAAAAGAAAAATTGGCATGAATTAAAATTTAAACTGAGTTTTCGATTATCTGAGGTAGTTACAATTCCATATATCTTTAATTATTGAGGTCCTTCTCTATTGTACTGTTATTGTATATCTTTATTAAGACAATAAACCATTTGTATCATCAGTTTAAAATTAATGGCAGAATTCTGAATTAAATTCTTTACTTCTAGGTTGTGTTTTCTTTTATACCTGGTTTTATGTTTTAGCAGATGCTAAATTGTTTGTTTTTAATAAATATATTAGTATGTGTAACTGTATGCTCTTTACACCGTTTCCAAGTAGAATATTCTTATTTTGCTTTGATAAAGCCTTTTATTTAGATTATTTGTGAAATCTATATTAACATTTCATTATTAACATCTTAAGAAAAAGTCATACAAGTATGTAAGTTGATAGGAAATTTCTTTATATTATGGTTTGGAATTGAATTCGTGATGCAATGTAATTGCAGACAGATATATGATGGTTCAAAACTTGATCACTTAAATGTTGTGATTTAAGACATGCTTGTATCTTGCATTTCTTAAATATTCCTTATTTAAGTTTTTACAGCTAGACATTTTTTTTTTTTTTTTTTTTTTTTTTTTTTTTTTTTTTTTCCAATGCTAAACTTAAGCCTAAAATGGGCACTTAAAAATTCCATAAAATTAAAATAATGATTTTAAATGTAAAACATATAATATCTCTGCTAAGGGCAAATATGCTTTCCAGTTGCAAATAATTATGTATTTTCAACAGTAGCAAACACATGTCTATCTCCTGCTACTTCCTTAACTAAAGTAATCCCACTTGTTCATTATAGGAAATAAAAATAAGTGCTAAATCCTAAACAAAACGTCCAGCTTAGTATTGAAAAAATAGAATGAAAAATGCAGAATAACAAACATGAATTGTTGCTACATGCAGAAAAAAGGTTCATAGTGTTATTATCACCATTTTGACAGTATTTATGTGTAGTGGACTCTCTTCAGAAATTTAACCATATTTATCTGAAAACATGTTAAACTGTTACTTCTCACATTGTTTGAAATATGATCAAAAGTTTTAAAATGCAAAAAATAAATAAGTTGTGAAAAATATATTTTTGACACATATAAATTATTTTCAAGTGATTTTAATTTTTTAAAGCCTGTTATGGGTTTAATTACTTAATGTGTGTATCTTTTTTAGGAACCTAAAACAGATCGTGATAGTGAATACTGTGTAAAAGTGAATTCATACTTAAATCATCCACCTGCTGCTGGATCTTCTCGTAGTGGTGCGAGTGGTTCTATGGGTGGCTCATCCACCCCTTCACAAAGTGGAGGTGGTCTTCAATCTGAACTGAGCTCTTTGGGAGATAGTGACTTGCAAAATCTTCTTAATAACATGAGCCAACAGCAGTTACTTCAGCTTTTGGGTAACAAAACTGCTGCTTTAAATATTTAAATATTAATAATTTACTGTTAAATATCATATATTTTTTCTTATTTTAAAAAGTTATGTTTAAAATTTTTATATTAATAATAGTTTTGAATTATTTTATTATATTTAGCTATATTTCCCTCTCTTTTTTTAACTAAGCCATCAATACAAAGTTCATTATTTATTCCTTGGGATAAAGAAAAAAAAAATGCTCTTTAGTTATAAAATATAATAGGCAACAAATGTATAATTTATGCTTTTATTGCACAAACAGAATGTGTGCATCTTACCAACATAACTACAGTTAACATCAGTATAAGATGTTATTGAATAATGTTTCAGTGTGGCCAAACCGTATAATTTTATTCCAAATCATGTCATCATGCCATATACAATCCTAAACCCAAAAGCTCCATACAGTGCTCTTTGTGTTTTGAGGAGGTATGGCTTTATTTTTCATTTAAGTTGTTTCCATTATTCATCAGTAATTTAGGTCTTTATTTTAATCCTTCTCTTTTCAGATACTTTAAAAGATTATTTACTGATTTCAAAATTGTTGTTCGAAATCTATGCCAAATGGCGTTTGAATATAGGAAATAATGATGTAATAATAATGTTCTAACACATGGTTCAGATGTACCAGATGAGTAGTGGTAAAGTACACAAGGATAAAGCATTTTTCCTCTTTTAAAAAATTATTCTATTTATAATACATATATGTTTTACTTCCACAAAAATATATAAAATATGTGTTTTAGCAATATGAAATATTTCTTAATGCAAAGTGAAATTTATTTCCTTATACAGGATGTAGGGAAAAGCTCTGACATGAAAATGAAGTAACAAATACAACAAAGACTTATAATATATATTTTTCGATTGTGTAAATGAATGAATTTCTAATGAAGCAGGTATGCTATTTGTTATTGTTAAGGCAGAACTTTCTTAGTAAAGAGCTTAGCACCACAGAATACTGTGCAAAGTAAAAATATCCAAGCCAATTCTTAGAAAATTATTTCATAATGCTTTGTATCATCATATGAATCATAAAGTAAAGTCATCATATGATTTAAGGTGCCATTCAGTAGCTGAATGGTTTACCATTGTTCCAAGTTTGTGATCCAGATATTCTAAGTAGTTAGAACTTTTGATTGGAAAAACAAGCTGTCTTTAAGGTTAGGGATGTTTTGTTATGGTTTTTAATTGAATAGATTAGCCTTTAATTGGGCACAGCCTTTTGGCTAAGATCAAAGTGTAGTATGATTAATGGCAATTTTTTTTAAACATTGTATTCTGTTTCTTAACCTTTAATAATATCATTTGAAGTGATTATCTAATAAAGTATATTTTTATTAAGGTACCTAAAAAAATCTTTTTTACAGCGTCTAACTGACCAGAACTTAGATTGTACACTGGTCATCAAAATTAAAGGATAATGAGAAAACTCATAACTGATATTTAATGAAGAATTATTAACAGAAATTTCCTCAAAAGCATTAGTTAACGTAAATTACTATGTCTGGCATTTGATTATTCACAAAATATTAAAATTAAAACCAAATTTATAGAAATTGGAAAAGTCGCCTGTTATGGAAAACATTTTTCTTTAATGTGATGTATGGTCACCAGTGTTGATCAAGTCCTCTGGAAATACGCGTCACTCTTCTAAAGGTACACTTTTCAGCTCCTGAAGGGTCAGGGAGGAATTTGGCGTGCTGAAATTCGGTGACCTAAGGCATCTCGCACATGCTTGCTGTATACTAGCATCACATACGCTTGATGAGGCCGAGCATTGACATCCATTAGAAAAAACTCTAAGCCAACAGCACTCCTAAACAGTATAACTTCAGTTTCCAATACTTCGTCCACATTTCTCTCAGCGGTTACAGAACATCTTGAAAGATATGCAGCCTTTGCCATGATTCCTTCCCAGATCATTAAACTGCAGTTGCAGAAACAAGATATTTCATGGACAAAGGAAAGAAAGTTGCATTGGTCAGTGAGTGTATGGGTTCATTGTCACTAAATGTGACAATAGCACCAATTTAAATGGTCCTTTCTTGAAGGTGGAGTGAGTGGGACACAAACCATTGGTTTTTCTCGTATACAGTCCAACCTCGTTAAATTTTCATGGAGTGATAGAATGGATAATTCAAGTTCCTGTAGTAGCCTAAAGGTCTAAAACCAAATCTCTTGTTGTGGCCTCGCTGTTTCTTCGAGCAACAATGACATAAAACGGTCTTCTGATATGGTTGTTGCTTTTGACTGGGCTGTCTATCAATCGATTCAGTGCTTAAAAAGCGGTTCCAGACTCATAATATGACACTTTGAGTGATATTCAAACACCCATTTGTGTTTTACTTTAATTTAAATGATGCCTTTGAGCCATACCTACTGAATACTAATCTCTCTCAGAAACCACATTTTAAACAACACTACAGACCGGAATTCCAACATGCATCCTTTGTGCACCACATTGTCAGTCACTGAATTTGCATATTTCCGGCGCTGACATATGCGTGGATGTGCAAATTTGTGTTCAACTATATTTAATTAATAAAAATAATTACAGCATTGGTCATTGGTTGCAATATAACTTAATGAGCATATTTTTTCTCATTATCCTTTAATTTTGATGACCATTGTATATTGCATTGACAGTGAATTTAAAGTAGTTTAGTGTTTATGCTTGTACAGTAAGACCCCGCTTAACGCGGGGGATACGTTCCATCGAAGTAGAGCGTAATGCGAAACAGCGCTAAGCGAGGCTATCTTAACATGTAAATAATGGGGTTAGGGGAAGACTGATAAAAAATGGTTAGGCATTAAATTTAATAATGTTTTTTTTAATAAAAATAAAATCAAACATTTATTTCTTACAAAAATAAAAACAATATAAATGCATATACTTTTAAAAACAAATAAAATTCTCAGTCACATCATTCAGTCTATTCTGGGTTTCCAATTTTCTGCCTTTTTGTTAAGAAGGCATTATGATAGATTGGCTTAATGGCATATTGCGTTCAATTTCGTCGTCAATCCATATAGACAGTCGTTTTCCCATTTCCTCTATAATGTTATTTCTAGAACGGGTAATTCTAGTTACAGAGCTTGACGTAGTTGCAGTTGCCGATGACAGTATTTTTTCTTTATTCTTAAGAATTGTCCTTATTGTTGAAGTTGCTAAAATCAATGCAGCACTGATTTGAGATTGACATTCACCAGAATCTAATCTTCTAATCACTTGCATTTGAGTTTCCAGTGAAATGCTTTTTCTGGTTGCTTTCTTTTCTTGTTTTTTTTATTATCACCCATGATAAAAACTAAAGATCATAATATTTGTCACTGTATTAATCGTTATAGTATTATACAAATTTAAACTTACAATAATGTCAACAAATGTTTCAAATGATAAAAATGCGTCCACAAAGCAAGAAACACAACTACACTGTTTCGGATATGTTATTTGGAACCTAGCGCTGCGCACAATTTTGGAGAATCCCCGGGTTGAAATAAAAGAGCGCTAAACCGAAACAGCGTTAAGCGGGGTCTTACTGTATTTCCAAAATCTTAGAAACATCTTGAAAGATAATGAGTGAAAAATTAATAAAGCTAATATTTTTGCAACTCAAAATCTTAATATGAAACAGTACGGTTGTCATTTGCTTTAATAGATAAATGAAGCAGTTTATTTAATCTTAACGGTCTTTTTGAAAAATTATCTATTTACATAATACTAACAGTTGCATATAAAGGTAACATCTAATATGTACACTGCTCAAAAAAAAAAATGGGACAGTGCTATATCTCCCGTTCTACTGGGCCGATTGACAAAATTCAAACTACGTTTTTCATGTCTCCAAGGCGCGACTTAGGATATATATTAGATTTATATATAGTACTATTCTAACATAGGTATTTTGACGCAAAATCAGACTTTTTCTGAAATAACATACCAATTTTTTTACATATTTCGATTCTACGACTCAAATTATGCCAGAATACCAAGTTTTGTAAAAAATCGTACGAATAGTTTTTAAAATATTAGCTCTCAAAATTTTAGCGCTTCAATGTTAATTGAATTTGGCAAATATTTATTAATATCTCTTTTTTTACTAAACCTTTTTGATTTTTTCTCTCACGTTTCGAAATTTTGGTTCCTTCCAAATAAAATTTACCCATTTTTTGCGTTTTATTTTTTAAATTTCTATTTTTAAAATAAATAATTTTTTTTAAATTTTTCGAAAAAAATTTTAAATTATAACCTATAAAATTTTTGCCATCATCTTAAAGTAGGTGTATTTTTAAGCATATCTGCAAAAAATTAGACTTTTTTTATTCAAAATTTTCTAAGATATACACGAATTTACATAATTTCGCGTTTTGAAATTTGGCACCTTTTTTTTTTGAGCGATAATAACGCCAAATGTGGTCTATGGATTTTTTTGTTACACAGAATTGCCACAGCTATTTTTAACCTTAAACTTCAAGTAAAATTTTACGGAGAATTAATTATATGACATTTTTTCCCTCCATGATGCTTAATAAATATTTATTAATACTATATGAAAAGGCTATTTTTTTTAATTATAGATGATATTATTCAAATTTTTAACTATTTTTTTTTTTTAAATTTCTCCTCGTATCTTTTTTTTTTTAAAAAATTTAAGAGTAAGTTTTTGAAAGAGTAAATTTTTACCTTCGGCGTTTTTATCGTCTGCTACTACTTTACTTCGTTTAAATCGAATTGTCTAAAACTGAGAATTTTCGTTTGATATTTATTTGAATTTTATGACATTAACTGCATAATTTATTTCTAAACAAACTGTTGCTTTTGAAGTGGCTGAAAAAGCGGCTGATACTATTATTCATATTTTTAAAGCACAATATATATTTTTATAGAAACATTATATTTAGAATAATCATTTTTTATAAAAGTCAAATTATGATATAAACATACAACCCTCTAGAGACTGAATTAATGGAAGTTCAATG